TTTAAGCGGTTATATTTATGTTTCTCTCAATCGAACGGGCATTGTGTAATTACCTAATTTGGCTGAATTTCGTGACACAGCTCCTTTAATACTTATTTACTGGATAATGATTTATCCGGTGGACGGCTCTATCCAGCTTTTTGAACAACTGGGGCCAGACCAGTTGTAAACGTTAAGTAAATAAAGTAAAACCCAAAGCTGTGTAAAGCAATTTCATTTATCAAAGCAAGTGTATCATTAAAATAAGACTTGCAAACAACTTTATGGACTTGGTACCTTCAGTAACATATTTCTTGAATCTAGACTAACTAAACATTCTTCCTTACCCCACCCCACGTGGTCTTTTCTTAGACCTCTTGTTGGATGGGCCCAACGAATATAATGACGTTACCCTTTTCGACCACTCTCAAATTGGGAGTAGCCACGCATGTTTTAGAAGGGGTAAAACTGAGGAAAATGAAAAATAAGTTGTAGTCGTAGAAGGACAGTCAACTCCCAGAAAGATAACAGAATTGGTTCTTGCTGTTCTTTGACTCTCTTTAAGGCGGACATGTGGGATCACTTTAGTTTTCTGGGTAACTGTCCACTTCGGGCAAAATGTTGGCTTATGGGAGGGCAGTTTCTCAGAAACTTTATCGTGAGAAAATAACCTCTCGGATACCCAAGGTGCCCCATGTGTATCTTCGACTCAAATGGTACGAGTATGGGTTACAGTTTTATCGGGGCGTGGGGGTACTCCTGGCAATTCCTGGTGGGGGCGCGCCGCACGGTTCTCCAAATCCTGACACTATTTCAGACCAAAAAATGTCATTTTTTCCACCCATTTTCAGACCTGTAGTCTAAAATCCATACCCGTTTTCAGATTTGGCCTCTACGACATTATGTCATCATTACTTAGATTAGAACACCAACGAAAAAGATTTCTTTCTTTATTATTAAAAACTCAAACAATGAATACGTTCATACATTACCGTAGGTTCCTCGAAACCCGTACCCGATTCCAGAGCAGACCCTTTGGGACAGCACATCATAGTAAATGGCTTATATATGGGTGTACCCCACCACCCCCGAGGGAGTTTCAAAAATCAGTCACTGCCACATTTTCCCATGATCCACTTCGTTTCCACAACTTCGTTTTCAATTCACTTCAGACGTACAATTATCCTAAGGGAATTCAGTGGGAGAATTGCTTTTGCAAATCATGTGTCTTTGGGGGAAAGGACAAAGAAAAATGTATTATGGGAAATGTGGAAGTGGGGAGGGGGGGGGGAAATGGATTTACAACGAGTGAATGGTTATATTGATCGCCTGAGTTACGGTTTTAAGACAAGTAAAACACAAACGGCTCATTTACTAAGTATCAGTGGAGTTAATTTCATTTTATTTGCTTGAAAAACTTCACACAGTGGTATACAACAAAATAGATTATGTGGAGTTTTAAAAATAATAGCTACGAATCTTTTGTGTTATCTACTTATATGGACTCTGTAGTGCACAAATTCCCTAAAGGTAATCAAACGCTACAATACCTTTGAAATGTGTCAACGGTACCTTTGCCCAAATCTCAGCCAAACTCGACAATCTTGCTTTACCTTTGACGTGAAACAAAGTTGTATTGCTTTGACGAAAGGCAGACTGCCTTTATCACGTGAGACCACATGCATAGGCGATGTAAATTTAATGAATCTACTCGGTGTGTGATGATAAATTGACCAAGCAACTAAATTCGACAACGCCATTGGTTAACACTCGTAACAAATCTGATCTGTGACACGCGTATAAACACACACTAAAATGTCATAAAAATCTCTAAAAACATATGCAAAGTTTTTCAATCCACAGAGCTTCCTAATTTTCAAGCCTCTTCACAGGATTAGATTGCAGCAAATATATTAACATGATTTATAGCTAAACATTCCGAATTTGATATATATATCATATATGTACATAAACGCTCAATTAATTTAATTCAATTCACATAAGTTAGATTGTCCGCATTTCTTAAATAATATAAACGCTGCAGCGCGTTAATTGTAACCTAGAATACGTTGGTCGTCTTAACCAAAATCATGAGCAGGATTGATAACGTGGGAGATCTGTTATCAAGACGCGTTATTTTGTTGAGATGAACACAATCGACACAAATGGTTAGGTCAGATGACTACCATTGCCAGAAAACAGTTCAGTTTTTGCCCTTGATAAAATATATTATTTCCAGTGAAGCATAAAAACTATAGTTCTAATTTGCAAAGGAAAACAACGAACTGAAATGGGATTCTGGCTGCTGCAGTCAATTAACGCTTTCTTGCTAATCTTGCAATTTATTTTTGGGAGGTTGAAACCACTATCATCATCATCATCAAATTCAGCGCTCAAAAGATTATGACACATCCTATTGCTGTATGACAATGTTCTAACAGACTAGGTAGCTAAAACAATATCTACAATCATAAACTGTCAAATAATTCAGCGTAATACTAAGTTTGAAAGAGGGAGCGTAAAAGGCTACACAAGGATTGCATTTTTTTCTATTTGACCGATTTGTTTTGCAAGGAAAACCTATACCAGCAACTCTGGCTGTAGACTGTTCACAGTCCCCTATTATTTCGTAAGGGTTTACGGTCATCTCGCCACCAACGAATAAATCTGAAATAATTGACACAGGTTAATACCTAGCATTACTTACCTAAGATTTTTGCTTTTTCGTCAAGCTTACTCGAATTTAAAGTCGACCCAAATACAAATCGGTCGATCCTCATTGACGAACCTTGCGTCGAACGTCTTGTGCTCTTGATAATGTAAATACTAATAATACATGTCTAGGTCAGGTTCTGTGAATGTAAACTTTGACATTTGAGGATTACAAAACTGGCAGAAACGTTTCACGACCACTAGTCATTTCTTTGAAATATGAAAATAAAGTAACGGTTAAGAAATTTCCGTTCATGAAAGTTCAAAACAGTGCTAATCTAAGTTATATTCTTGATGGCGATTTCGTTGGTGGCGAAATGGTTTGGTGGCGAGGTGACCAGATACCCTTCGTAAGATCGTCAGGGTCGAACAGCTACTCTTCCGGTCAGCCATCATGGCTTCAAATGTACCGAGTCTAGCTTGGGGATGAGTAATAATTCTGTTTGGGGGGCGATCGATCTCGACGATCTTAAGAAAAAATAGGGAACTGCGAACAGTCAACTCTAGAAGATTTACTGTTTGGATTTCGTCCATAAACTCCTCAAATTTTCAAACTGAACACCAGACTCACTAGAGGATTCGATGTTTGGATTTCGACCACGAACTCCAAAATATTGAAACTACAGTTTTAAACTTTGTGTGTCCGAATAAACATTCGAATTTCAAATACCAGAAAAGACGAACCGTTATCAGAGTAACTACCTTGGAATATAGTATTAAACTGTACGGGTAAGGAATTTGAAGACCAAATACTTCTGTTTGAGGTGTAAATTGTCTAATTCAGACAACCATACCACTTTTTTAAAAGTAATTAGGGAAGTGTTTTGGAGATATTCTCCTCCCCAACACCCTATGCCTTTTCTTTCTCTTGAAACGAGGAGTTCTGGTCGTAACAAAGTACATACATGCGCAAAACACCGGATGTAAGAAGTTAGCTGACAACCGATATTGGTTGTGACCAGGGCCCCTCGTTTCGCTAACCACTCGAGCAGATGAGAAGACAGGCGTTCGCCAGGACGAATAAAAATACTTTCAACGCTCACGACGCCACCATTTCAGCTTCATTTTCGGGGAGAGCCACATCAAATACTTTCTGCAATTTGTAAGTTAACCTCCCTGAAACGGAAAGAAAATATATAAGGTAGTGCACATAAACTACAGCGAGTAAACACGCGCCTGACCAACCACCTCAATAGCAAGGCAAGTTTGATATCGCATTCTAGCTTTAATAGTTTACCAAGATTACTTATAACGTCAATAAACAAATACGACGCAAGCAGACTTCAAAAAACGGGGGAAAATGCCTGTCAGCAAGGCACCTGCCTTAAGCTCACTTCTGATTGGAGGAGAGAAGGTCGCGATGTTTTCAAGCCACGTTCTTCCGCATTCGTTTCGAATCTCAAACAGTTTGGTACCGACTTGTGGTGCCGTTTGCACACAGACGCATGAATACCTTAATCCCCCCTCTCTGTGTCCGAAGGTTTTGAATCCGGAAAGTAATACTAGGTATCCAAGTGAATTTTATCATTTACTGATATGTGTCAGGAGCCCTCTTTAGCTCCTGTGTGTGTAAATGTCTGCGAATCCGAATACCTTAGATGAAAAAAAAAAAAAATCCGGGAATATTTATGAACCCGCCAGGAAAATCTCCTGTATTCGAGCTTAAGCAAAAACATTTTTGAGCGACGCACGTCAACCGGAAGTGGACTTTTTTCATTCTTGGGCCGTGGTTTTGCCCAAATTTTCGGGCAGATCGTCTCTATAAGTGTAAAGACACGTAGCAATACAAATTCGGTCGTGTCGAGGAATATTAAAAGGGACAAGACCTAACTTCTGGTTGACGTGTGTCGCTCAAAAACGCCTTTGCTTAAGCTCCCATGTCTGACTGCTGTAAGTACAAAAAGGATCACACACACAACTGAGTCCTGGTGAGGAAAAAGTTGACTCCTTTGCCCGAGCCAACAGAACTCGCGCATGCTCTGATTGTCCAAAACAGCGCAGTCGCTTAAGCGCAGTCGCATGCCGCGATTGTCTCGCTTTGACCGAGTTGACCCACTCTGGGTGAACCAAAGTGTTTATACAAAGAAGAGTTGGCCCGGCTAGGAGGGTGAGCCCACTATTACAAAAGGGTGACCCGGCTTCAAGCCGAGCCAACCACAGCTCGCTCCGTTTTGTAAGGAAATCTATGAAAAGTTAGCTCTCCCAGGGTAGCTTAACGTTTCCCCATATAAACCGGGCCGAGGTTAAAACCATTAGCCACAGCTTTAAATTACGCACGTAAAGATTTCTTTTAACGTTAGTAAAAAAAACTAAATAAATAAAGACAGAAAGAACAACTTACCAATTGCCGCAAAGAAGCCTCGAGGCACGATGTCAAAATAGACAAAAATAAGATAGACAGGTATTCCAGCCAAAATGAAGAGCAAGCAGAAGAATGATTCCAGAGGCGCTTCGTAGAAGGGTGCTATTACCAGGTAAATTGAGGCCAGCAAGACAAGAATGGGTACTACTATTGGAACCTGATAAAGGAAAATAGTCATTGATTTAACAAACGGCGGCGTATTCGATGGATTTCACTCAGCCGAAACTCAAGGTGCATTTGATGGGTCCTCGGCATCTATACCCGACATATTGAACGCGAAGGTTCCAGTGTCTCTCTGGGCGCGATCCATTCAACCAAAATCTCCGGAAATTTCCGTCTAAAACTCACTGGACCTTTTAAGGTCGACCAATTTTCCCGGTCGGACCGGTTGGAATTTTGGTTGAATGGATCGCGCCCTCTGTTTCCTTTCTTCCTGCCCTTCTACCTTGCTATTCTAAGTGTTTCTTCCGACACGCGCAAATTGAAACAAGGTATTCAGTATTCAGTAGCTATTCAGTTATCATGGTTGGCTTGTCCTCCAGCTTTTGTTGCTTCTCACTGAATAGCTGAGACTCCATGTCATTCCACTTCATTTCCAGTGATCAGTCTTCCTTTCTTCTATCACGCCCTTCCTATCTCTAGCCTTCCAAGGAGTACATAACCTACTTTTAGCTGCCTCTTTACCGACCTTACCCCTCAAACTAGCATTGCTGTCTACAATGTCTCTTTATCTTTTACCCTGCTACTTGAAGAGAACGTTACATAAAAAAGGAAGAATCATAAATAAAATTAGGTTGCACAACATGCATTCTGGTGTTCGTGGTAGTCAATCGTTCTGTAATATTCCTAACTGCCTGTAGACTTTCTATCGATATAAAACTGTGTATGTTCAGTTATTTATCATTTCCACGCAAAAGCTGTCCAGAGCAACATAAACGCCTCTCCTATCAAAATGATTTCAGCACCTAATGCAGGGTTCTGGTTATGGCTGCAACGATACAGTTTCACATGATATGACACAAATCGTGATACAAGGGCCACGATACAATACAATTTTATTGTATCGTAATATCACGACATCTTGTTGAAATATCGATACTCATATCGTTAGAACAAATATCGCCTTTAAACCGATGCATCGGTGAATCGTTGCACACCTTATTCCAGTAGATTTTTTCAGTTGCTATAGTTTTCCATCCGAACGTTTGTTGTGTTGCAATAGCGTTTCAGATTTCCATAATTTTCCTTGATCTATAACAATTTTTCCCAAGACCTTCAGGATGTCTTTTTTCTCTTTCTCTCAACTTAGTTCCGCCTGAGCCTCGCTTTCAGGCTTCCCTATCTATTACCCTTGCCCCACCCCCCTGCCCTAACACAAGGAACCAATCATCGAGGACCTTGGTTCCTTAGCGTAATTAATTATTAAGGCAACATGACTCACTTTATAGGGTCGTTTCATTTCAGGTTTCCGATAACGAAGCCAAATGAGAGCAGACACCGTGACACCATAGAAAACCCAAGCAGCAAAACTGAAGTAGTTTATTAGCGTCTCAAAAGAGCTGGAGTCAGGCAGTAACATGATCCAGGCAATTATACTCTGCGGTCAAAAAGCAAAACAGGGAAAAGTGACGAAAAACTATCTGAAGAAAGTTGAATGGCTGGCCTTCCACGCAGACGTTCTTATAAGGCTTCGTCAGAAGGAACGAACGTTCGTAGGGTAGGAACGCGTGAGGAAGCCCTAGGAACGTCTGCGTGGGAGGCTAGTGAGCGATAAGTGTGAAAAGATCGGTGAAATGGTAGCCGAATATGTTAAGTTATCACTCCCTCCTCCACAGAGGTTGCTGCTGGGTATCACAACAGTAAAAATTGCAATAATCGAAAAAAGAAAAGCGCGCGGGGGACGATGGGAAGGGGGAAATGGCGGGAACCGAGGCCTCGCTTCCTTTCTTTTCCCTTCCCATCGTCCCCCGCATGATTTTGCTTCTCCCCAGCCTCCCTACGAAACAAAGAGGCCTCTGCGGAGGAAAGTTATAAAGTTATATTACAAAAGTGTACAGTCAGCTCTCTCTAAGACGGACACCTTTGGGACCGGCTCCAAGTGTCCGTCTTAGAGAGGTGTCCGTCTTATAGAGAGTCAAATAAAGGGAGTAAAGAAAGGCAGGGACCAACTCTAAGTGTCCGTTTTACAGAGGTGTCCGTCTTCTAGAGGTGTCCGTTAAGAGAGAGTCGACTGTATTTAACGAACACGGGTTCTCAGTTCATAACATAGTCGCGAAAAATAACTGAATGAGCCTAAGATAATCTTCCTAAGCTAGACTTAGGAAGATTTACAAGAACCAAAATAAAATGCAGAAAGGAGCATATTTCACTGAGAATATAATGTCGGGAAGGCTGGATATTTTCCAAGTTCTTTTCTTGCAAAAAGAACAACAAAGAGAGAGAAAGAGAGAGAAAAGAACGAGCAATATCTAGCCTATTTTCACGGAAACTAGCGTTGTTAATACAGAATTTATTGTATAGCAGAAAAAATGCTTTCCTGCATTCCGGCAGCAACAAAAAGCGGTAAAGCTGAGATACCAGAGCTGATAACCCATAGGCTGGCCCAACTTATCTGCTGGGTGAATTCCCCCCAGGAGGAGGGGACTCCCCTATATAAGCCATATAGACGTGTACCGCCCAAAAGTGTAGGGTTTTTTGTCCTTTCTGGTCTGAAAACGGGTATACTCTTTGCCCATTTTGATCTGGAATCGGGTATGGTCTTCGATGGAACTACGGGGGTGTATGAACTTATTTATCGTTTCAACTCCAAATGAATAAGAACGAAGTAGGAATTTGCGAATTGGATATGCATTTGGAGAAATTGTTTGTTTGCGCTCTAATCTAAAAAATGATGACATAATTTCTGTCTGAAGGCCAGATCTGAAAAAGGGTTTGGATTTTAGAGGTCTGGTCTGAAAACGGGTGTAGAAAATTACAGTTTTTGGTATGAAATAGGGTCAGGATTTGGAGAACTGGGCGGCACATACCCACCAAGAATTCCTAGGAGTACCTCCCCGGGGTGAATTCCCTTGATCAAGCCTGCTCGCCGCGAAGCCAGCGTACAGTAATGTCAGTTTGTCTGTTGTCAATTCGATTCTTTTGACCTACCGTGAACAGCATGGCGGGAAGGGGAGTGTGTCTCTTTGTGTGAATCATGGCAAGGAACTTGGGCAAATGTCCTTCTCGGGCGGCGGCGAATACTAATCTACAGTAACATCGAGAGATAATGTATGTATCTCGTTGTTGGGCTTATTTTTATGACAGAGCGAATTTCGTATGACCTTGAAATGAAAACGCGCGAACAAAACAGAAAGAACAAAACAACGGAAATAGAGCGATTTGATTGGTTTATCGAACGGATACAAACGCACCTGGCTTTTGGTTGGTTAAGCGAACGCTCGGCTGCAAAAAATTCATGCCCGAAGAACTTTCTAGAAATCGCTTTGACGTCATACTGAAACACGATTGGTCAATCGAACAATGCCTTCGCCATATTAGGGTTTTCTTTGGCGGGAAAACGAAGAGTCCATGTTTTGTTCTGTTCAACCATTGGCTGATAAAACAAACAACGAACACTTACCGAAACCATTTTTCAAGGACATACGACAATCGCTCTAACTACAGGGTCAATTTGTTCAAAGTTAAGTTAGCTCTAATAGGAAAGAATAAATCTCAAATGCACCTTCGAATAACCTAGGATCTTCATCATGATTTACAAATATTCATGAATAAATCTATCCGGAGGGATAATCAAGAAGTTAACCCTTTAAGTTCCAAGAGTGATCAACATCAATTTTCTGCTAATCATATCGACACATAATCAAGAGTAAAGGTTATGAGAATTCATAAAATGATCACCTACAGGAAAATACTTTGATCTTCTATCAAATTCCCCAAACTAATTGTTGATGGAAATGTATAGAGATCTGTTTGAAGAATTGTATGAGGATATCAGGCCTTTATTGGTTAAGCTGTATATATGCCTGGCCATAACACGATTCAGTAAAGCCCTATGTAGTAACTATATCATCATGTTCACTGAAGCTGCCAGGCCAAGATGAAAGCAACAGTAGGTAAGACTTCAACCAATATAATAAGCAGAATTTCAGTACGCTGAAATACCAACCTTCCACCACTAAAAGCTGATCCGTTAGCTGCTCCAAATGTTGACGATGCAACAAATATTGGAATAACCCAAGCCATGACGCCGTACAAACGATCTGCTAAGGTCTAAAATGCAATATTTAAAAACCGGAATTAACACTCTCCTGTTTACCTTCCCTTGTGTTCTGTAACTGAAGTTTAGCGGAACATCGACACACTGGGCTAAACTTGAGTGCAAACGCTCTCTAATTTGGTCAAATTACTCTTTTAAACGAAACAACTCAAAAATTCCGAACAACAAATCTCTCTTGGTCATATTCAAGTTAATAGAAAGTACCGTACTTGTAGCAACAACAAAACAATAAAATTTAAAATAATCACGGTTATTACCATCGTTTTTTCAAGAACGTTAAAAACCGGTATAAATGGAGGGATAAGTGGCAGGAAAATGTCGCGTGGTCATCTCCACCGTTTTAACGCAGAATGAGGCCAACTACGACGGCGACGGCAGCGAGCCTCCATTGATCTTTTGCACTCGCGTTTTATTCCGCGAAAAGGTTTGAAAGAATGTGAAGACAGTTTCTCTGCGACGCTTTCTTCGGCAATGCCGTGGTCGGATCGTAATGTCACCAGTCTATTTCTTGGGTGGCGGGTAGAGCTTGAGACAGACTAAACCTAAGGCGACAATTGTTACTTACCACGGCGACAGCACTTGACTCCATGACTTCCGCGGGCGTTAGTACTGCCAAATAAGCGATATTTACCAGCACGTAACAGACCGTTACTAGGGGAATGCCAATTAAAATGGACAGCGGCAAGTCTCTGTAAGAAGACAATAAGAGAAGATCATATGAGGGTTTTGCATCCCTATCACACTATCACTCAAACGGACGCGCAAGCCGCGAGCCGCCGGAAGCTCCAAACGTTTCACAGCGAATAAGAGTCAAACGTCCACAAAACTCACGTTTTCGAGGGGTTGGGAGTGGGGAGGATAGATGCCTTTACAGGTTGAAATTAATGAAAACGGGAAGGCCATGATGCTGACGCTACTTCAAAGGCTAAATCGCTTGACAACGTAAGAAATGAATAGAAAATGGCTTCCTGCCAGAAACATCGCAAAACTGTATATGGTCAGTTAACTATGCATCTCAGTTGATCTGAGTTAATTATTTGTGTCTTTTAAGTTTATTTATTAAGATTATTTGATCTAGTAATTTATTCTTATTATATTACATTTTACATAGTATATTTATATTATTTTGTAATGAGTTTTAGGTGAATTATTGTAAAGCACCTCTGATCATTTTTATGGAAGAATCTGGTGCTATATAAGTAACTGAATCATCATCATCATCATCATCACACTAATAATAATAATAATTATTATTATTATTATTAGTGTCTTACCGGTAAGGATTCTTCAGTTCTTCCGTGACGTAGTTCAAATTATTCCTGTACGTTAAAAAAAGTAAATTTATAAATAATGGTGAAGAAACAAACCAATTCAGCAAAACACACCGTACATCCTCAAATTTAGGATAAGGCGTGGGAGAGGGCGAATATTTGAAGGGGGCGCTTATTTGAGTAGAGGCGCTTATTTGATGAATCAATTTTTCGTGCAAACAACGTGACCTAGGTATTCAAATACAAAGTTGTTCAGTAGTTTACTACGGAGACCGGCGCCAAGAGCATCCTAGCACTGCTAGCAGAAAAAGATTAAAGAACTGACTTACCAGCCATCATAGGCCCACAAACCATTGTAAAACGCAAATCCCACAAGACCAATTCTGCTTGTTGTACCGCTAAACGAATTCTGAAAACTTTCTGTGTATCCTGTGAAAAATAACACCAAGAGAAATCTTCAAATAAAGATGATAAACAACTTTTAAGCGGATGTTGTTTCAAAGCAGTTTTTAGCGGCAATGGATTTTTTAGTAGAATCTCTAGACTACAAGTAGACTGTCATTTACTTTGGGGATAAAAAAGAGAGCGAATTTTTTTTAACACGCTTGTTGTAATGAATATCGCCACCCGCGAAAATGGCAGAGAGAGCAAAATACGCGAACGTGTGGAAATACGAAATTTGCCTCTTCCCTTCGCGTTTCACCTTACTCGCAGGTGGCGATTTTTAAGAAAAGCTCTCGTATTTTGCTCCCTCTATTATTCCTGAGGAAAATTTCGTTTCTACCTGAACGAGCGTGCGAGGGAAAAGGGGAGAGAAGGCCTCCACTCTTTTTCTCCCCTCTTACGTATGCGCGTCCTCGAAATTCCTCCCTCCGCCTTAAAAACCGGCGCCAGAGGTTTCTGAAATTCCCTGACTCTTCCCTGACAAATGTAAAATTTCCCTGACCAACTGAATTAACAATTTCACAAATTATGTTCCCCTCACGGGCATCCCTTCCACCCATTTATTTACGCTTTTAGAAAGTCAAGTGCGGTGTACACGAATTTATAGTTCCTTCACGTAACGTGCAATAAGGATTGATTTTCCTCAAACCCAACATCAGCTTGTTGTTCAATTTCATGGACAACATTCTACCAAACACAATTCACGTCCGTAAAATGTACAAATGTACTCTTAAAATGTCACTTTTCCCTGACTTCTTTCAAAGGCTTAAATTTTCCCTGACTCGAAGTGAAATTTCCTGACTTTTCCCTGACCTTTTTTAATTTGTTTCCCTGACCATTTCCCGACCTGTGGCAACCATGGGTAATGTGTTTTTCCGCGCTTAACGTCCGCCAAAACGCTGCGTGTTAAAACGCTTCATGCGATGTAAACAGTTCGCCTCGATTATGTTGTTTCTTACCTTCGAACTTGAAATCGCCGATAAATCATCAAATTCGAGCACGTTGAAACACATGGCACTAAATCTCAGTGAAATGGCCGCTAGTTTGCAAGCACGAATTAAAATCGAAACTTACAGTCTTATTAAAAATAAAACCACAGAAAATCGGCTGTGTTTAAGAGCCCTTGTAAGAGCAACTGGTATCAGTATGATTCAGTGGGAAGTTAAGAGGAGGTGATAAGATGGTAGTGTTGAGGACCCTTTGGAAATAAGGACCCAATTTTTGTCAAGGTGCGTATAGGTCAACACCGTGGATAAATCTCTAACACCGAAAAAGCTGGCAAATTCTCTCGTTCTGAGCAGTTCAAAGAACTTAAATATGAGAACAAAAACGGTGATATCCTTACCTTGTCCAAGGCGAACAATACCAGTGATAATCAACATGACTATTGCCGCCATCTTGCAAACAGTGAAAACGATTTGCATCCGCGAGGCCCACTTCACACTCGCACAATTCACAAACAGAATCACCGCTGCAATGAAAAGAAGTACAAATTTAAGTCGACTCAAACAGAGGCTGGTATTCTATAATCTCTATTGTTTTCATTACAGTAAGACTGAAAAGGGAACAAAGCGACAGAAAAAAAAACTGTGTGGGTACTTATATTTCCTGTAGGGGATGGTTTTTGTTGGGCCTGAGTGGCAGGCGTTCGAAAGGGAAGGGGAAGGGAATAAGGGCGCGAGATCGCGCCCGAGGGAGGAGGGAGGAGGGGAACCTTTCCTTTCTCCCTCGCACGCCCCCCCCCCGCACGCCCAAATTCCCCCTTCCCCTTTTAACGCCTGCCACTTAGGCTAGGAAATGCCAAAAAACTGCATCCTGTCAAACACTGGTTAGTCGCAGAGGATGACCGGGACTTAAAAGTGTCGCAAAGTTTGGAGCTTTCCTCTAACCTACTAAAACTTTTGAGCCGGATTTTAAATGTCTAGAATAGGCATTCACGTAAACAATTCACCCAGAAATAAACTCTAAAAGCTCTCCATGGAATTTCCTTGGGGATTATTCCTCTTTCATAACGGCACTTTTCTTTATGGGGGGAAATCCGTGAAATTGTCGATGGGAAAGAAAAAAACCCGACTTAATGTCGTCCAGTAACGAAAGTCCATGCCTTCTTGGGCTTAACATAAACTTTTCAAGATGTTTTCTTCTTGTAAATTCTGAGGACACAAACTGACGTAAGATAAAATTCTCTCCAAACAGTGATAACACGTCGCAGGAATTGCGGTCGTTTCGCCCTGCGACGTTTTGTCGGGACTTAAGTCAATTCGCCCGATGAAATTCTACAACTCGGTGAAACGCTTATCAGAGATGTTATTTCAGTTAAGCTTGGATTCCACATGTGCAGTCCATATCTTCATGCTTATCCCGTTTTTCAGGCTTAAAACAACGACAGACATCGAACAAATCGACTTAAGTACGGGCGAAACGACCTGATACCGCGTGGCAGACGTAATCTTGGTGCCGCCTGTGGTGCACGCTATGGCAGTCTAAAATGTCAGCCGTCTCCACCCCCTGGAAATAGAACAGGCAGGCTCTCACCAATGCACAGGGAAGCCAATATCTTCACCAAAACGTCTAAGTCTGGTCGCTCCGAATCTTGACTGACACACGAGGGAAAAAAGGGCTCGGCGACATAACTTCCAAAAGCCAGGGCGATGATAGCCGTTTGCGCCGGCCTGAGAAGGACGACCGAAGTCCAACTGTACAGAAATGCGGGCAGCGCACCTAAACCTTCCAGGAGGTACACAAACTCGCCTCCAGATTTCGGAATCATGGTTCCCAACTCGCAATAACACAAGGCACCAAGCATTGCGATAATACCGCATCCTGCCCACACTGATAAAGTCAAACCTACAGAGCCCGCCTGACTGAACACTCCACTGGCTGAAGCGAATATTCCGCTACCAATCATTGTACCTACGATAAGCGAAATGCTTCCGCTAAGGCCGACTTGCTTCTCCAGCTGAAGAGCTTGATTGTTGGCGGGATTTATTTTGCTCTCGTCGCGACTACAGTCGGCTTGACTTGCCAGTAAATCAGCCTGGCTTGTAGCGTCATGGTAGCTATGGTTTCTCATCTCATTTTCTTCCATTATGCCCAACTGCAAAGCCCAACTGGTAAGGAGGAAGGAGTCAAAGAATGCTGCTTTTTGCTAATATCGACTAGTTGTAACTGGTTAGGTGTCGCTTGGTTAATATTTTGTATTGTCGGGCTATCAACTGATTCCCTGCTGTTAAAGGAGAATACGTTTTGGTATAACACAGACCCTCTGGGGTAGCCTCCCCGCAGCGCAGACGTTCTTTAGGCTCGTCACGCAATCCTCCCCTTGAGGCAGGAACGCGTGACGAACCCCCAAAAACGTCTGCGTGGAAGGATGGTCGAGGGCGCCCGAGTATAGAAAAAAAAACCGAGGGAGATTTACTGACCGCAAGCACAATGGAGTGTCGCCCTGGTTCTCACGCTCCGCGCGCGCTTTCGAATTATCGATAAAAAGAAATACGTCTGTGATCCAACACTGATTTGGCTACTGTTCACCACAAAAATTGTTTACATCAAAAATCACTGCAGAAATGGTACTTCCAGCAATTAAATCACCGCCACATAATCAGAAAGTGGTTATGTTTTTCCTGTGTGCGCACCTTCAGATTAGATAGCCTGCATAACAGGCGTTTTATAGGCATTTCGCGCGAACCATCCACGAGGCGAGGTGGAGGAGAAAAATCGCCTCGCAATTCGCGCGAAACGCCGTGTTTGCCTCGCTTGGCTCATAAAGCTGGCTACAGATTAGATTGACACCAGAAAACCTGCTTTCCTCTTTAGAACCAAACGTAGCCACGAGAAAAAACTGATGATAGCTTTAAATGACTCCAAAACTGTAAATTTTAAGAGCAAAACGCGCAACACTGATTTTGAAAATGGTGAAGACCCCAATATCCCTCACTTCTATGCCGTTAAAGGCACGATGAACCAGCAACAAAGGATATTGCATTTCACTTGATGGTTGTGACCATACAAAGCACGGTTTTTGAAAAAAAATTATAATAACTGGACGTTACAAATTGTTAAGTATGACATTATGAGCAGATGAGGGGCAGTAAAACATCTTACAAACAAAATAAATATTTTGATAATTACAAACAAATTTATTTATCGAGTTTAACTGGAAAAAACAAAACAAATTTGCCATTTGCACAATGATACATAATACACCTTGTTTTCGCCACAAAATTTTGCATACCCCTTGTTTTTTTTTTTCATTTATCCTGGGTGCAGATGTCCCAAGAAAAATTGGAAGACAATGGTTTTGCAAAATTTTGGGAAAGTGTATTGTGGGAGATGAGCAAATGGCAAATTTCTATTAGTCTATGAGTAGTACGTAAACTTCTTAGTTCAAAACATTGTGAGGTGACATATTGCAAGTATTTCTAAGAGAAAATGTACTGGAGGGAGTTATCGATCCAACCTTGAAGGATTTAGAGCCGGTTGTGGGTTGTGATAATCAAGGCTAGGTCAGCCTGGTATGGTATTTTTGGTTGGCCCTAAAGGGCTTGTCAATAAATTCGTTGGCGACCTTGTGTCATTGTTCTTCACTAAAATTTTCAGCCTTTCAATGTTGCCTCTGCATGTTAACATCAAATTATTCTTATCGATAACACGTGACAGATTCAAAGAGTTGTCAAATAATTCATCAACCTGTCAAATATCTCAAGTTTCAGGATTTTTTGTACTTATTGCCTGCCGTGCGGATATGTACATTTATCAGTCGAGGCAGGCCAATCGATATCTCGCTGACTTTAACTGAGACTTTTTACGAACAGACCGGCATTGGACAGGTGCTTGAAGAAAAAAAGGCGATCTTACATTTAGATGTCAGTTTCGATATCTGGACATTACATCCCACACTGATCGAAAACAAACTAAATGTGAATGGTATTCACGAATACCCTTAGTTACGAATAAAAAATACAACCCATCGCGCGCTTTAAGTTACCAAAACTAGCAAAAGTACATTGCGATCGAGGGAGCCTTATAGTCATAACGCACCTGCAGAAAAGTATAGGACAAACTCGAGGTCGCATTAGTTTCACTTTCTTAAGTGTTTTGGTCGACAAAACACGAATCGATGATTTTTACGAGCTAGAAAACGTTCTCGAAGAAAATATCGAAGCAACATTCGACGCCTGGGTGCGTGATGCAATCAGTGTGAGAATAGAAATTGAACCAATTAACGACGCAAAAATTGTAAATGGAGTTTTTATTAAATATGCCGTTTTGTGATAAAGCTAGAATTTTGAGCATTAGTACATGCTAAAATTGCTCAAAAGGGAGTAACATTAGAAACCGATAACAGAGTTTTAAAGATGTTTAGAAGTTACAGCAAACACGACGAAACTGTCGTGCGCCTTAACACGCCAACGAGATGTCGATGACATTCCCACTCAGCTTGTCGTCAGAATGATTACACAACATTCGTTTGCATTTTGTTTGTTTATACTGTTTTTTAACCAGGTAAAACAAGACAAAACGAAACAAGAGCCTCTGAAAAATTTGGTGTTTTCGGTCCCCTCATTTATTTTTGCAAATGTCAAAATTGCGCAATATCTTAATTTTTATGTTTTGTACTCACCTATCGCGATGGCTGCTAGGAGTTTCACGGCGGGCTGTAGGTTCTCTCGGTCACCACAGCCGGGAAAGATCGGCTCGATCACGTAGGCGCCAAACGCCAGACAGATAATAGCAACTTGCGACGGCTTAAGCACAATGACAGAAGTCCATGAGTACAGAAAAGCCGGCAAAGCACCGAACCCTTCGAGCAAGTACACATATTCTGCACCTGACAAAGGTATCATTGTGCCCAACTCCGCGTAACTCAGTGCCCCAAATATCGCTAAAACACCGCACAGCGACCAAACAATTAGTGTCAGTCCAACAGAACCGCTGTTCTCCATCACATAGCGAGGAGATGCGAATATTCCCGAGCCAATCATAGTGCCGACGATCAGACATATTCCGCTTACAAGACCGAGCTTTCGTTCCAAACCGACGAACCCCCTTTCCTCCTGTCCTGTCCTCGAAGCGTCACTATCATCCGCTAACAGGTTGTCTTCAGTCTTGTCCTTAGCTTCCCTCGACAAATATTCATCGCTTCCCCAATGGTTGTTTAGCTTTTCGTTGCCGTTCTCCATCTTGCCAAGTTCGCTGGCAACTACAACTATAAAATTGTGCGCGGGATGCTAGCCTGCACGTGTGTATGTCCAGCTTATATTATGGAAATCAGGGGTCTCGAGGGTCACTCAAGAATCGGCAAAAATAATCGCACAAGTCGCAGACAGCCAATAGAAATTTGGAAAAGCGGGAACAAGATTATTTCTTTTTATTATGACAGACAAACCCACTTAATTTATTTAAATTACGGCTCGTTAATCCGTGCCCTATTCATTAACTAGAATTTGTTTTTGCTTGGCGGGAATTAGCTTAGGCGCGAAGACGCGTGAACAAAGGAGATAGCAATTCTTGAAAGTAAATCACACGATCTGTTGATTGAGCTCTTTTCATCAGCTTATTCATGTTAAACTTTTGCATAGCGGAGTATCAGGGATGTCAATTTAATCCCCTGGTACCTCACGAAGACACGAATACTTTTCAGCTGTCACGCAAATGCTGTCACTTTGCCTTAAAATTTCACGTGCGATTGTTTCGACATCTTCGACACCAGTGAGTTCCACAGTTGATAGGAGAAAAGGGTATTTTGATTTGAGTAGTTCGATGCGAGGCCTGAAACCAAAACAAAATCTTTGCCAGAATTTTTCATATGAGTGAAAACAATGGATGTTTAAAACGCAGAGACAAGTTATGGCAAATGATACTTCGCTTCCTTTTATGCTTATATATAGTGGGAGACGAAAATCCGTTTTGGAGGACTATTAAAATCATAACCCAATTTCCAAACGAGATGTAAAACTGTCTTTTGGAAGGCCAATAACTCAGTCGATCCAGTTTCAGTAGCCTGAGATCATGCCCTCACCCTCTATGTTTCACAGGTTCTTTCTTTTTGTTTTTTCTTTCCTTTTCTTTTCTTCTCACTTTTCTAGAGTGGAATAATTATACGATATTTTTTAGGAAACGTCCCTCGAACAAGCGCCCACCCCGTCGACCAAAATGAACTTGTCATGAGCTGTTTCCGGTGTCGTCACGCAACGCTCCCCCACCCCCAATACCCGGCTTCCAGGAGGAGCGTTGCAGACAACACAAGAAGACTGCCTCGTCATTTCAACACTTCTTTACGGACGTCACAAAAAGCCCCTTTTCCCACTTGACTGATATTTAAAGTTTTGAAGAAATAAATAAAAAAGCAACCTCCTTTGGTATGATAATTTGGTACCGTAGTCTACATTACACTCGCATAATAAAAAGGGTCAAAGAAGTCATTTATACGGTAAACATCCGCTAATACATTAAAAACCTACTTATTTTGAAGTCTGGCAAAGTGGGTTCTTGTATTTTGGGGTACTTATTGGCAATTTAGGCTAAATAGCATGAGCCAATATAGACAGCATACTGGACCATTGAGGTTCAAATCCACGGCGCATCGGATAGTCTAACCGTATCGTCTCCATTTATCCACCAGCTGGTTCAAACAGTTTCAAATAATTTTCTACAATCACGGAAATCTGAAAGGAAAATCACGCATCACGCGTTATGAAAATTGTCTACCACGCATCACGTGCTATGCCCACATGCCTCACGCAGTTTGGCCCGATCACGCATCACGCTGATAATTTGGGACACAACACGCGTCACAGAAAACCCCTTTGCCACCCGGTTCAAACACAGTGCACCTGTTTACGAGCTGATAAGTTGACTGGTACCCATAAAAGACAATGGCGCGCGGGAGACTTATTATTTGAAAATTGATTTAATACCACTATAAAAAAGGAGTCGTAATTTTAACATCTCCTTGCAGTGACGGTTGTTTTGGCTCAGCAAAACACCAAACAACACGAGTGAATCAAGGTCCAGTTTAATTACCCGCCATAAATTAAGATTCCAATGGACACAGCTCTGATATGTCGAAACTTGTACGGCGATCGCATTTTGATCTGTTTCTGCGAATTAGGAGCAATCACCTTCAATTCCGGATACGACCAGGAACTTTTTGGAATGATATTGTAAGTGTATTTCCTCTCGAAATGCGATCGGGATGAACTTGAAATAGAGGGGGGATTATTTCCGAGTTTGTTACGAAGACATTTTAATCAACGATCGGCTAACTTCGGAATTCTTCGCCACGGAAGAACCAATTCTCTGCCCAGTTTCTCACGGACGAAAATATTGGCAGCTGTGCAAAAATGGCGGATCTTTAACCTTTGTATGAGTAAAGGAATCTTTCGGCTTCTATTCGGGCCAAGGAGATCTCCCTCTAAAAGGGAGCAAACAGAACGTTGGAAGAAAAATGGCTACTAGGAATCTAACGGAGATTTATATCAATCTTCGCACTGAAATTAGTCGTTTCAAGGCCTATTCACTCGGTGACTCCGTACGTAGTGATAGCCCTGGGGTACTGTACTGACATATACTGCCGCCAAAACATACACTGTTTGTTTTATGTTGTACCAGATGGAGAACTTTCCTGATGATGATTTGTTTTGATTTAATTTAACCAGGACGATGACACAGTAGCACTCGTTCGAAGAACAAGCGATCTCGAACTTGGCGTTCAAACCGGAGGAATAAGCTCCTTACCTCCGCAATGGTGGGTATGATTTTCCTGGTAATCGTCGAATTGAGAGTGTGAGGATGATGTTTTTTCTAAACTTACTTCTGAAATAGAAATTTATTTGCCAATATAGCTATATTCAAGATACGAGACTGTATGATCTAGTAACGTATGATTAAATGCATGTATGTTAAAATACAATGCATGGATTATTATTTTTGACTAACAAGTCAGTCTTTGAATGATAAAAACTTCTGCATCGCTTAAGCCTCCTTTCCCATAATCGATTTTTTATTAAGGCAAAGTTCTAAAATAGTGAATGACAAAACCACAGCTACTTTCAACTATTGTGTATCAGGAAATGAACAAAAAACAAACACAAAAACAAGCCAATATGTTCTTAGCTGTTGTGTATGTAAACTTTCGTTTTGATTTGTGTTAGATTATGGGAATGAAACTGAGATAGGGACCATAAAAATTGGCTGGCTTGAAATTTTTCAGTTCAAAGACAGATTTCCAATGTAGATTTGTCTTTTGCTCAGTAGATATTCCAAAGCATTCTAATTCATTTCCTTTAATTTTCCAGGGTTGATGTTGTGGAAGAGGTAGGTATAAGCTATAGAACTTCACAAGTTTTTATCTCGCCCAAAAATTTACAGTAGAACCTGGGTAACTCAAACTCTGAAGAGAAACAAAAAACAGTTCAAGTTAGCTGGGGTTCAAGTTATAGGGGTCGATTGAATTGTCAATCTTCTGTGTAAATATTGATAGTTTACTGATATTTCAGCACTTCAGTATACAGCAGAGTGCAAATTAAATTTATCTCATTAAAAATTGTGACACATCTAGACTATACAGAAATATTTTACTGCATGAAAACAATAAGTTAACCAGAAAAGACAGCAAACAGCCTATAAGAGAAAACAACCCACAAACCTATCATGATACACGGCCTTATTCAACCGAGACTATTAGTAAATATGATCAATAAACAGTAATCTATAATTTATAGTCAACATTAAATTCCTTGTGGCACAAGATAAAAATATTTATACGTTTCAAGATTCTTTCCTTTTATTTTGTCATGTTTCTTCAACTTATTAAAAAATGAATTACACATGTAGTTTGTTTGCATTTTGTGACCTTGAAAAGTTTAAAGATTACTCAAATCCACTGGCACATACATCAAAAAATGTAAATAGATCAAATGGTCGATAACAGATTTTTTACCATAATATGAGTTTGGTTCAAAGTACTGAAGAACACGAACTTAAATTGTTTTTTGTTTAAAAACGATTCATCTTGAAGCTCAATAATTGACATTTTTAAAGTGAAAACCCTATGCATACTTTACCTTCTCACTCTTACAGTGTACGTATACAGAACATCTTCAGTAAAATACGAGTTGTGTACATATCAGTGTCATGTGTGAGTGAAATTAATTTATATGGGTTTTTTTAAAGTTCCCATTTTCAATGGCTTTTAGTTTACACCTCAATAAAAGTTATGCCTGTTAAAGCGAGCTGTGAACTTTCAAAGTTTATCGAAACTCGCTAATGCTAACATCAATCGTGCTTGTTGAACAGGGCGCAGAGACACAGAAATTAGGAGAAGCATAACACTTGATCATGCACAAATTTAATGATGCAGTTACAAACAAAAGCAAAAACTCTGGACCACATTAAGAACAATACTGTAAGCTCTAGTATGCTAAGTCACCAAACCTTGTACCAAACTTGTAGTAACTTGCCTCAGTACTTTATTTCTCTCAAATTAGTACACCTGTACTTAATGTTCCTGGTGTAGCTTTGTATTCTGGAAGCTTTGTTGCTCATTTGCCCTCTCGCTAATAAGGCTATGAGATGAAATTGTGTGCAAATTTCTCAAAGTTCCTGTTTTGGCCAGACAAGTGTTCTTCATCCTAATCTGAAATTTAGACCTCCAAGAAGACGTGTTTTGCATTAAACAGAAATAAATAAGTCTTTAAACAGACTCTTTGAAGATGGACAAACATGTTTTATGGATCAAGCAATGCCCTCTGGGTTACTAGGTTGATAATTAAAAGAGTTCATTTTTTAATGTAGGAGACCGAAAAATTCCAAAATCAAATTTATGAACTGGGCATGCCTTGAGGTAGCCCAGTTAAAAATTTAATGGGATGGCATTTGTGGTAAGTTGCAAGAACCAGAATTTGAGTCATCAATGTAAATTTTGATGAAGGAAAACAAAATTAATATTATTATTTTTAGTGCGAGTTAGCGGGGAATTCGGTTACCCACGTAAAAGTGACTAAAGAGTTGGGTCAAATCCAAGGGAAGTGAGATTGGAGTTAGCAGGGAACATGAGTTATCCAAGTTCAAGTTACCCAGGGTCCTACTGTATATTTTTAATTTTTATTTCCTCTTGTAGAGTGTCAAGGTTTGAATTTATCAATTCCTTTCTTCCTTTTTACGTAGATTCAATATGAAATTACTAGGATAAAGCAAAGAAGTAAGTTTAAGCTTAAGTTAAATTGCTCTAGGCAGTATATTAGATTCTATATCAGGGTTTTCATTAAGAATTCTGGTAGCAGGAGAAACGTGTAACATTACAGGAGAATATTTTAGAAGAGGCTCCTCACGTAAATCAAAATAGTCATAGCAGGGTTGTCAAAAGTAGCCGGCTGCCGGCGAAAAATATCGCCGCCTACTTGGTTAGTATCGGCCGGCTTCTCTGCTTAGCATTTCTTTACAAATGGCATTTTTAAATAAAATATCTCTGGACTGGCCGCTTACTTTAACAACTCAGCCGTCTACTTCAAAACTTTCTGACAACCCTGTATAGGCTACCGAACATTAGCCGGAGAATTTTGTGTAGTAAACTGAGAATTCCCCAATCTCCGATGCCTAATGAACACCCTGCTATGTGTTTGTTTTTAACAGGTTGTTTTCTGATGTGTCATCACCTTTGTAGTGTTACAGCTATGAGAATTTTGAAATATTCCTCCAAACTGTTGCTGATTTTTTTTTATTTTTATGGTAATTACTTGAGTATCAAAAATGTTCTAATAGGAGAAAAAGGGAAAACGTAATTGAAGATTGGAATCATTTTTTTTTAGTGCAAGAGTTGTCAACTCTTCATGATCGACACCTGAACAGACCAACGCTTGATGACAGTGTGGATGAAGAACAGACAATAGAAATAACCACGAAGGAAATCACTCAGGTTTGTACTCCAGCCTTATGCCAATGAGTACTGTTTTTAGACAGGTGCGTTTTTAGGAAGAGGGGAGGTTTTCCTGGGGTGTACTCCCTATAATGCCCTATATGATGAGGCTCCACCCCAAAGGGCAGGGATTTCACTAGTGGAAGTATTTGAAAGGGCAGGAACATTTATCATTTTGATCTGTTAAAGGAACCAGTAGGGCCAACAGATGCATTTTATGGCTGTGAAAAAGTCAAGGAAACTTTCTAGTTTTGTGATTTATTCATATTTAAAGTCAGTGCATTTTAGCCTTTAGAAGGGATCAGAGTTCTAAATTAGGTTTGTGAAGGGAGTGCCATCTCTCAAAAGAAATTTTAGGAAAGGGATACCTTTTTTGTCAGAAATGGTATGTAAAAGGGCAAGGGGTTGGACCTTTGGGTGGGGCTTCTTGGTATATATGTTGCAGGTAATTTTTTTTCTTAGGTAAATTTAATTTTTCACTAGGTACAATTTTTTAACCTGGGTAATTTTGCACCATGCTATGGAAACGTTGACGAAATTTAGACAGTTGGCTTATTCAACAAAATTATATTTAACTTTTCACTCCTACTAACAGCCAATGTAAACAAATTGACAAAAATTCCGATAAAAGTTTTTTTGTAAGGAATTATAATAGCAACATGCAAATGTTATACCAGAGAGGTTTTAGAGAATTACTTGACATCTGATTGCCATACAAACACTTTCAGTAATTTCTCTTGCATTTACCTTACGGACTATAAAACTGAAAACCACATGATTTGCATTTCTTTTATTGTTAGATGTTCCATCAGTGTCAAGGTTCCATTCAAAGAATAGGGAGGCAAAGTAGAGGCACTTCAAAGCAAGAACAACGTCTTCTCAAAAATGTCATGTCATCACTAGCTGTTAGTCTACAGGATCTGTCCCTGAACTTCAGGAGAGGACAGTCATCATATCTGAAAAGTGAGTATTGCAGATGTCACTGGGTTTGGATATTTTGTGGTTTAGTGCACCCTAGAACCCGAAATTCTTATTACTGTTGGTTGCATCTAAGCGTGGACACGAGACCAAAAAACATGTTCTAATAGGGTGCCAGACATGACCTGTTTTGCCACCAAACATATGAAGTTTGACAGCTGTTAAAGCAAACTGTCGCTCCACAGGTTAAGTTGTTTACATGTTTTTGATCAGCACGTTCCTTTCATCTTCTATTTTTCTCAATTTTCAGGAATATTTCTCGCTCAGAAACAGCATACTTGCTTTTAAGAATTAATCTTTGGAGATTTGCAACTCTCTAAATTCGATAAACAGCTACCTACTTTGCACATGAACATTAGTCCAACGTCACCCCAAACTTCAACAGTTTGGCGGCAAAACGTGTCTTGTTTTCACCCGATTAGAACATGTTTGTATACTATTGCTACCCTAAAATAAGGGCTCTTTACGTTTACCGTTCCCTTTCACAACAAGAATTTGCCTAAAGTGAGAGTTTAGTGAGAGTGAGAGTATAGTGTGTATACTGTAGTGAGAGCTTGACATGATTTTTGTAGCAAGAAATACAATGTAAATGACAGTGGTACTCTCCCCAGTTGTAGTATAGGCCATCCTTTCCTAGGATTACTAACCTTCATCATTACGGTGTGTTTAATAATACTGTTCCGGTTTAAAAAAAAAAACATTATGGAAAGTTGAGACCTTCAACTCTTTTGTACTGGCCTCCAGTTTAGAATTCAAAATGTACTGTTGCATGTCTGCATGACTTCCATCATCACCCATTATTGTGTTGTTTCAGAAAATATTCATACTCCCCGCAAGGATGGTATTTTGGTTTAAATGCCCCCACCCCTCTGGACATTTCAGTTTAGTTTCATACCTTCCTTTAAAAAATATTTTAGCCTTTAAGACCCCCCTCCCCTTTGCAATTTCCAGTGACCATCCTTGGGGTGGGTATGGATATTTTCCGGAACCACACATTTTAAGGTTGACACACTGATTCATTTAGATACGTGCTGGTAAGGCTTTAGTAATTTCCCTTTTTAGGACTGAAGAATCGAGAAGAGAGGGAAAGACAGTATTTTGACACTGGTCTCCCAGCTACCAGCAGTGCACTCATGAATGAAGATGTTGTTGAGGATGATGAACTTTATGATAGAGTGAGTGATCTTCTTCATTATTTTAATCAACCACACACAGCTGTAGTACCAAATGATCTCAATTCAGTCATGCACAAGTTGCAATGTCTCATTAGAGCTGTCAGTTGATGGGTATAGTAATGTTTACTGTTTGGCATGAATAATATTTTGTGAGCACAGTTGATGCTCTTGTGAGCAAACATCCCAGGGAAGTAGACGAGGGAAGAATTCTTGCACACAGCCTATTACATTACAAAGGATAAGAAAGTATACAACGCAACTTAATTTTCTGTGGCTGCTGATAAAAATAATAACTTACAAGCATTTAAATGGGAGTGTAAATGGTGTTTTGCAAACCATGGCAGCTGTAAGTAGGCATGTCTGCTCACAGGAGCTTTGAGTTTATGGTTTTATAGGCATGGGTGTTTCAGGGGAGGATGTCTTCATCATTCTATTCATGTATGCTTTATTAGCTGATCATAGCGTTTCTGTCTGTGGAGGTAATCCTGAAGTATCCTGAAGTGTGACAATTCAAATAAAATCTTTTCCGCAGTACTCTTACCTGTATGTGGTACTTTTTGTCTGCTTTATATAAACTTGTTTTACCTTTCTGTCTTTGGGCAACTTATTCTTTGTGTTGGCATTGACCACTTATGCATGAGTTTGATATTTTGGCGGGGAACTGTGCCATTTTAATGTTGTTTTATATTTCATGTTGTTTGTTAACAGGGATTTACTTCTGATCAGATGAGGCTGGTTGAAGAAAATTCAACTTTAATTGAGCATAGGGAGAAAGAAATACAGTCAATAGTGCAATCAATATCAGAACTAAATGAAATATTCCGAGACCTTGCTACTATGATAGTCGAGCAGGTAACTAAAGAATATTATTTGTCCTTTACGGGGTCGTAAAGGTCATTAAAAACTTGGAAAGTCATAAAATTTTAGAATTTCATTTTCCAGGTCTTGAAGGTCTTGTATTCTAATAATTGTCAGTCCTGGAAAGTCCTGGAAAATTAAAGTTAAGTTTGGTAGATTCATTTCTGTAGATGTCCGAGCAAGGACAATGCAAGATAAAGTCAAGAGCACAAATAGCATGCATTTTGGTGAACAACAGATTATGTGTGTGTTGAACTTAGTAAGGTCAAAAAATAACCTGAAAAGGAGAGTTTTTAAAATTTTCCAGTGACAGCTTAACACAGGGTCATGGAAAAGTTGAAAAGTTATGGAAAAAGTCATGGAAAGTCATAGAATTAGAGTATCTCAAAAGAGTACTAATACCCTGCTTTAAAAATTTCTTCTTTATCTCTGAAGCTTCAAGAATAGACTAAATCATTTCACTGATTGTTCCTTATTGCTCATTCTTTCCACAGGGAACTATTTTGGATAGAATAGATTACAATGTAGAGCAAGCTGCTGTTAAAGTTGAAGAAGGCCTAGAACAACTTAGAAAGGTCAGTACTTGTAGTTTTAATTATCATCTTGGAAGAGGCAGTGGTGTTTTCAAAGACTGTTTTTAAGTTTTTGTGGTTTTCTCTCATTTGTTCGTTTTAGCCCTTATCAACAAGAAAAAAAATTTTCTGCTTTCAATTTTCTGCGCTCTTGGGCCTTTTCCATTAAAAAAAAAGGAATGGTGTCATTTCAGATTAATTGTTGTAAATCTTATTGTTTGACACCAAGAAGTCTCAGGAGGCAAAAACCAGGCCTAAACAAAGATTTTTCTGTTCATGCCAATAAACTCAAAAAGCCAGTTTAATCCCCCAAAAACCACTACATGATTTCTAAACCACGAAGGATGTTTCCATCTCCCTATGAACATAAACCAGAGACCCCTTCCCACTCCCCCTCTGGAACCTCTGGAAAGCGGTTGGACATTCTCCCCAGCTGAACTAGAGCAACTAATTAAATCATATAATTATATATTTGTCTTGTTTGCAGGGTGAGAAGCACCAGAAAGCGTCTCGGAAGATGTTATGTATAATATTTTTAGCTATTGTTGTAATAATAATGCTTCTAGCTCTGGTAATAACAAAAGCCAAATGATAAGCAATATATTGATTATTGAGTAATAATCTATTTAGGTTGTTTCATATTAATTTGTATATTTGATAAGAAATGAATTAAATTAGGAGGAACATTTTTATCACTCAAGTTTTTTTAATGTTAAACTTTACCTGCGTTTGATTGAAGTAAAGTTTGGTTTTGAAATTCTGCTTTTTTCATCAGAGTTTTGGAATTGTGTTCAGCAAATAGTAAAGTAGTCTGAAATTATCTTACGTCTCCACCTCCTATTAACCCGCGGGGGGTGCGGGGAAGAGAGACATATGAATTCCAAGTGTTGTAATGTTGTCTGGTGAGATCACCTACTTTTGCAATTAATGGTAGGTATTTTCTGATTGGCTATTACCTTTCCGAAATAGAAAACCTTTTGTTATTGGCTGAACACACTAAGGAAAACATCCAGTTTGAAATAGCATTTGAATGTGACCTTAGAGTCAGCCTCTCTTCACAAAGCGAAAACTTATACCATAGTAGTAACTGATGACGAACCTTTTAATTCCAAAACTGCAGTCTCACTTTAGGCACTTGTAACGAAAAAGGCACTACCAGTACAGTAACTCCAAGACCAAGGTCACGTTTCACACTATCACGAGCTTATGAGTCGTGTTTAGCCTGTCAACACTTTATTTCATCTTCGAAAAGTTAAATGACTCTGTACATTTATTTAGGAGGTCTTAAGGTCAAGCTTTATGGCACTCAAAACACAGAACACTCTTCATATCGACCATATGCATCCTGCCGTTCACTGTTCCATGACCTATGGCTGCCAACTTGTTAAGAAATCAAAATTTATGCAAAAATGAATAAATTACTTGGTGATGTCATTGGACGGCATAATTATTTTTAATGTTCAGAATTCAGATGTCTCTCTCCTCTGCACCCGCCATGGGTTAGGAGGAGGGTGTGTAACATTTCAGACGAACAGTTAAGTTGTGCAGTCTTTTTTAGTGAGTTTGTTTTTTTTATTAGTCAGTCTTAGCGGTATCACCTTCACCACCATCTCCACCCCCCTCCCCCTACAAAAAAAAAAGACAAAAACAAAACAAAGCAAAGACGCAGATGAGAGGACCATATCCTGGCCCTTATTCATTATTTGAAGCGATTTATGGAATAAATTTCTAAATGACTCTGACCAAAAGTTTAATTTTTCCTTTGATTTACAAACAGATGCAAGGCAGATTATATGGAAATATTATCTAATTTAATCTAGCAGTTTATTAAAAGAAACTTGGGGCTATATTCTGGGCACTACCTTGATTCAGTCACTTGTGCAATCTCAGGAACTGGCTTCTAGTCCGGGCAGAAGAGATGGTTTCTGCAGAAATTGTCGACTGTGATGCAATGGACATTATAATCTTACATGATTGTATCAAACCAGGTGATACAAATCTTAGAAACGTTTTTAAAAATGAAAACATTAATGAAAATGGGTGATTGGTTTCCCTGTTCATAGCATCTGCACAGTGGGCTATAATGCAGAAAAAATCCACTCTTCCCTGATCGATAGCATGCTAAGAATTTTTACTGGTGGAGCTGGGGTGGTAGGGATTGATGGCACAGGAAAACTGTGTGGAAGGGGAGTCTAGTAGTCTGGGAAATCTAGGCAGGGGTGGAGAGGGGAGCTAAAAAAAAGTTTACCCTCTGTTAGGGAAAGTGGATTTTTCTGGGAAAAAGAAGAGCCCAACAGTCTCTATAGTATTTACACACTAAAAATCTGTTATATTGAAATTATAGTAAGTTGTTGCTTACAGCTGCAGGTAATACCAATAATTTTTTTGTACATGCAGAATGTGCATCTAAGGTGCAAACCATGTTTCATCCATAATCATTTCTTCATGTTGTACTAATGTAAATCAGCATGATACTCAAAAAGGCATTAAAGATTATTTTTCACTTATGAGACTGAGGACAGTGGTATTTTTTTTAAGGGCGCTTGTCAAATTTCTGTTAGGAAAGGGTCAAATAATTTATTCATAGTTACTGTTCTTCTTCTTCTTCGTATAATTATTATTATTAAAAACTGAATCATCGGATAATGCAATTCTAGCATTTTGATTGGCTTAGCCGTTATGGTATATGAGCTATTATTATTATTATTATCATCATCATCATTATTCAATAAAACACAGGGTTTCCCTGGGGAAACAAAGTCCAGTTAAGTCTCAAACTGAGACCTCAGACTCCTATCACCGTTCTAAGGATACCGTAAAATTCCGAAACTAAGCCCCGGGGCTTATATTTTTTCCAAGGGCTTATTTTTGGAGGGGCTTATATTCAGAGGGGTTTATCTATGGAGGGAAATTTGCGTTTCAAAATCGATTGAGCTAGCCTTACGGTTGGAACGAAAGTTACCGTTTTTGCTTTGTTTTACTTTGTATTTGAGGTAGTCACTTGAAGGGATAGACGAGAGCGCCCTTCCTCGATCTTGAGACTGGGACCGAGTTATACGATCGCCGAGTTTAATCGCCGAGTAAGTCTTCGTTTCTGCATCGATCACCGCATCGCAATGGCCAAAAAATGGCGCGTAAAGGAGTCAGAATGAATACTCGCGAGCGTATTCAAAACGATGCGATGTGATTTATTTTGTTTCTTGTTTTTTTCATCTAAAATATACTTAACATTGACCTATTCGTACTTTGAAAAATATTACTGGCTCCCGCCACTGATATTAAACGGAAAAACTACTTGGGGTGACAAATTATTTTTCTTCACAAATATTAAAACAGTTGGATTTGAGACTTATGACAAGGTGCTGTTGAAATAAACGAACATACCCCCTCAAAGCCAAAAATGGAAATTATTTTTGTCTTCCTTATCTCTAAGCAGACTCGGTTCCCTGACCTATCCCTACAAGGGATAGAGGACAAGTACCTCTCCGGAATTGGACGGCCGGTCCTATACTCTGTGAAACATTAACTAAAAACGCGTCCGAAAGAGCGGGAAAAATAAAATCCAAACAAGAGTAGGCGTACTGCAGTGGCTGTTTAGGGACTTGTCAGAAATTAGCAGGGGGGGGGTGGAAATTTTAAATTTGGGTTCGGAAATGAGGTGACCCATCCCTGCAATGGGAGTGAAATTTGCTAACCCTCCCTTTGACCTTGGCCTAAAATATCATGACCCTCCCCCTCTTGTATAAATTATAACATCTAGGGCTTGCAATACACTAGGGTGAGTCAGTGTTATGAAAGCTCAAAATATATTTCTAATCTGTTCTTTGTAATGCCATATACATAGATTTAGATGACAGCATTAAGAGCCTGACTCTGATTCTGACAGCTGATCACTCGACTCCCCTATTTCTCCCAAGTTTTTTTTACAAAATAAAGAACTTCTTTTTTCTTCTGTGGGTGAACCTCTACATGATCAGGGACACATATTTGCATGACCCTCCCCCTTTTAACGGCCCATTTTTCATAACTCCTCCCTTTTCTGCAGTCTCAAAAAGTTGTGACCCTCCCTCTGTTTCCACCCCCCCCCCCCCCCTGCTAATTTCTGACTAGTCCCTTAGACATGTCTTCGGAACACAGACCTGGAAGTTTTTTGTTCGTACCAGATGTAAAATCAGCTGAAAAGGTGCTCCACGAGCATGAGTTGGATACGACAAGTTTTGTTATGTACTACAACAACGGTTTAGGCAAAGGTAAGCTTAAATGTACAGTCAGTGTATTCTTTGACTTTAGTAATTATTGGTTTGTGTACACCAAAATCGAATATCCGGGCACAGAATATTGCAAGTGGCACAGAAGAACCCTTTTTTTTGGGGGGGGGGGGAAACAAACAAAAAAAATTCCTGGCAATACCATACTAATAGGTTTTTAAATACAAAACAAACTAACAGAATAATATTGATGATAATAACAACAATGTTAATTGAATAATGCATTAAATGAACAATAAAGTTAATAACCAAATAAAAGACAAAAAAATGGAAGAAAGGTTCGAATAAGAAACAGAAATATCTTGACAAAAGAGGTTGTGATTGTAGCTATAGGTGCCCTGGGCCAAAAAAATTTTGTGCAGCCATATAAAATTCAGAGGGATGAAGAAAGTTGCCTTCACTCTTCATGCCTCCTGCCTGCTGAAAATGGTTACAGGACACTGATAAAATCTATACCAAGGTCAGTTCAGAGCAGAAACATAAACTTACAGAAAAAAATGAACTGTGAAAGTTTATATATATGTACAATATTATATTAAGATTAGGCCTTGCTTTGTTCCACAAAATGAGCAAATGAAGGGGAAGAAGGTGTTTTTTGAAGATCCTCAGTCTGTAACCTCCCAATCAAGGATGAAATATGATGGAATTTCATTCATCATAACAGGAAAACGAGTATATGATTGCCATCAGGGCATTGACAGACATGCAGCAGATAAAGAAAGAAGGAATACTTCCAAGGTTATTTTCACTTTTTTTCAGTTAAGGGACTGGTCATTATTTATGTAGGGGGGGGAAAAAAGGAGGGGGGTCAAGGCTGTTTTAGATTGGCTAGAGGGGGCTAATTTTTTTCAACAATTAATTGAGGGGGTCATGATTTTTTAGGTTTTGCAAGGGGTCTTGTCTGTGCTTTTGCAAATGGGATTACTTTTACGAAATAAATTAACTTCAAAGATGCAGGTGGTGAAGATGGACAACCCAGTTAGAAGAATATTGTCAAAACTTCATTGCTTTAATATTTCACACTTTAATAAAAGACAACATAGTTAAAATTAGGAATCAGAAAGTGCAAAAGCAGAAGGGCTACAATGACTGTGCACTCTTTGCTATAGCCTTTGCCACCACTCTATGCCATGGTGAAGACCTCACCACCAAGAGATATGGCCAGAGAGCCATGCGCCCGCACCTTGTTTATTGCCTGGAGTCTTCAAGGATGACCGAGTTCCCAACAACTAATGATACAGTTGAGCTTGTTCATCCTGTGGTAGGCAAAAATGTACCTATTTACTGCACATGCCAATTGCATAACAACAATGCTGCTTATGTCAAGTGTTGTGGATGCTGTGAGTGGTACCATCCAGATTTTGCTAATATCCCTGAATCTGCATTCCATCCAACAACAAAATGGTTGTGCTTTGAATGCAACCAGAAAAACACAAACACTTATTAAACTCATGTGATATCAAAACAAGTCTTCCTGTTGTGAGCCAAAACCTTTACCCTCTTTACAGTAGATGAAGCAATTCTTTCAGGAAACCTTATATTACATTAATATAAAATAATAATTACACCTGTAACAAAGTATATTGATTAGGTTATTGTGGCTGTACAAGAAATATTGTGTAAATTTAAAACTTGACATACATTGAAAGCTTCTTTCTCTGGTTTGATCAGTTCAATAAACAGCAGAGACAGAACTTTTTTTCTCAGCTGTTACAAAAAAAAATAATAACTTAGAGATGGAAAAATTGCCAATTTTTACAACTTCCAAGGATGTAAGGAAGAAATTGGATGTGAATTTTAAGCCTTAGGAGAATCTCTTCTCTTTGATGAATCCTTTTGGAGGAAAAAAATTGTTTATTTATCACAAACAATGAGTCACATGCCTGTGGCTAATGAACAGTCAAGCCAGAAAAAACAAAATTAATACAAGGTCATGCAAAAAGAAACCACCACAACTTGGCATACTAACAGATTGTTGTATCCCTCCTTTTGTTAGTGGCACTGGTGATTCGTGATTCTTAGTTATTTTGAATAACTTTTGTATGTGAATTCTATCAATCATGTGTTGGATGGTTTCATGTATAGGCAAGCAATGAGCAAAACACCCATGTCCATTATACTTTTACAATGTAAACCATTGAATAAAAGATTTACTATCCAACTAGATAAAATCACATCATGTTTGCTTTGTCTAGTCCTTGCATGCTGTTGTCTGCAGTCATTGTGTGTGCTTTGTCCTCCTTCAATGGCAGAAAAAAATTGGGCCATCACATTTAATAGCTACACCCTCTTCCTGGTTGACAACATATAATAAACTTCCTTCTTACTCCTGAGGAATTCTATTAGACTGCATTCACCCGGGAGACTTCCTTAAGATATGAATTTACCCCTGAGGAACTTACTGAACAGTACTTTTTTTCCTAATAAAATTCCATGAATTCTTTGTTTACCCTAAATAACTCCAATGTTTAAGACTATTCCCCAAGGATTTCCAAAACTATTACAACACCCCTAGAGAATTCCATTGATCTTTGCTCACTTCAAACTGGGATTGTACATTGCAATACAGAATTTGCACATTCTCTTGGTAGTCACTTAGTATGGTGAAATGACATAAGATTGGAATAACAGTTAATGTTGTCAAAGAAGAGGAGTCCCGGCCAACACTGGCAAAAATAAATAAGAATAAGCAAAAAAATAATAATAATTAAGTATTATAATCCATTGTATGGGCCTTGTGACCTCTGAATAGGAATTCTCTTAACAATCTCTTATCCTGCAACAACAGCTTGATGTCTTTTTTATTATTGTTATCATATTTTTAAACAAAAGAAAAAACGTTGAAACTAGAGGTACCTTTCATCTATGTGACGTGAACATAGATCACAGGGCCCATTGTCAATTAATTGCAAAGCTTGATCAGCAGTTACTATGAATCGAATTTTCTACGAATTCAGTAGAACTGCAACTGACCAAGCAACGTTTTAAAACTCACCTTAATTCAACTCGAGGGAAGAGATAATTGTAGCCTCTGCACACGTACTGTATATCAAAAGAGCTCATGATTTTAATAATTGTTCACGTACGAAGATCAGCTAAGATCCATTCGGAAAAATTTTCGGCGATCGTATAACTCGGTCCCAGTCTCTGGATCGAGGAAGGGCCCTCTCGTCTATCCCTTCAAGTGACTAAATGTTTAGGGTGTATATATAAATGCGAAATTTGCAATAAATTCACACTGTAGTTATAAGAAAAATTTAGCCATAAAGTCACTTTGTATATTCTACAAACCGAGAATTTAGCCATTAATTAACGGCTAAATATTTTCCTTTTTATAGAAATTATTTAGCCATTAATTAACGGCTAAACATTTCCTCTATATATGTAGTAAGTGAAAATTAGCCATTAAATAACGGCTAAATATTCCTCCTATATATATGTAGAGTAGGTAAAATTTAGCCATTAATTAACGGCTAAACATTTCCTATATATAAGGAGGTTACACTTAGCCATCATTTAACGGCTAAATATTCCTTGTATGTAAAGAATGTTAAACTTAGCCATTAATCAACGGCTAAATATTCCTTTAATATTTGTAGAGTAGGTAACATTTAGCCGTTAATTAACGGCTAAACATTTCCTAGATATATGAAGAGAAGGTTAAACTTAGCCATTAATTAACGGCTAAACAGTTCCTAGATATATGAAAAGAGGGTTAAACTTAGCCATTAATTAACGGCTAAACATTTCCCATATATATGGAAAGAAGGTTAAACTTAGCCATTAATTAACGGCTAAAAAGTTCCTAGATATACGAAAAGAAGGTTAAACTTAGCCATTAATTAACGGCTAAACATTTCGCATATATATGAAAAGAAGGTTAAACTTAGCCATTAATTAACGGCTGAACATTTTCCATATATATGGAAAGAAGGTTAAACTTAGCCGTTTATTAACGGCTAAACATTTTATTTTATATTTGTGTAGGAAGTTAAACTTAGCCGTTCATTAACGGCTAAATAATTTCACTATAGGTTAGAGAGAAGGTCAAACTTAGCCGCTAATTAACGGCTAAATAATTCCTTTTTGTTTATAGAGGTTTAACTTAGCCGTTAATCAACGGCTAAATAATTCCAATATATACCTGAGGCAGGTCAAACTTAAAAATATTTCAAAATATTTTCAACATATATAGATAAAGGAGGTCAAACTTAGCCATATTCTTTAGGAGGTTCAACTTAGCCATTAAATAACGGCTTATTATGTACGAACTATAGGGATCGCGCGGGGGAGAGGCTGGGGAGGTTCAGTAATTTGACATTTCATTCTAAATGACCTCAAAAAGAGAACTACGAAATTTGCCCCTCCCTTCTTACCGGACCCAACATTAAAAGAACTGCTCCGCGGTTGGTTCTTTAAGCCGTTAATTGATTCGGCCAAAATGGGCTGTTTATGCTAGGACGTTACTCTCGCTCACAGCCGTTTTTTGTCTCTTCATTCAAAATGGCTGTGAGGGAAGATCAAAGGAGAAAGAACGTCAGAAGCCAATAAAACCAGGAGAAGGCCATGGGCAAACGACCTTTGTTGTGTGGTCTATTCGGTTTTTAGTAAGGTTGGTAGAGAAGGGGGGCTTTTGCCAGGAAAGAAAAGTTTCAATTTGGAAAGAAATGCGAAGCCAAATCATGGAATGACATGGAAATTATCCCTCCTCCCCGGGAATTTGTGGGGCGTTTGTTTGTTTGTTTTTTTTTTGTTTTCAGAACCACTGCAATTGCCCTACGGTAGAGGCTGGCGGCCGGGAATTCATACAAAGACCTCACGGTGGGGCTGAGATAAGTGTTCAAATGCCCGACCCCGGAATAACTCTAAAATTGCATTTTATTGTCATCTGTGGTTGAGGCCTAAACTTCAGCAATGTTATCGAATTTTATTTGAAGGAGATGTTTACCTTAAATGTATACTACTCGCGAGAAATGCATGTTGTGTTTAAAATTGGATGAATCGACTTTTTCATATTATGGAAGAAGAGGTGGGACAAGTAAAACTAGCAACTCAATACCCATAAGTACTTTATTAAGTAGTTCTAATAATTAAACGTGGTTGATATTACTGGTACAAAACATGCTCGGGACAACCATTATGGAACTCTCTGAGGAGATTGTTGGGGCTCCTGTTATTTTGATTTGGATTACAGACCGCCAATCTTTCTGTAGTTGAAAGTTCGTCTTTCATAAAACTAATCTGATTATTTGACGAAACCGATTAATATATTCTATTAAGCGTAAGTCGAGTTCCTGTCAAGTCAAACTAAATTTTCTTTTACGTGACCTGATCAATTTAATTGTTAAACTATTAATTGGAAATTAATATTTACATAAAACTATTAACCTGAAACGTTTTTCAAAATTTTGTACGTGCTAAATGTTGCCTAACTGGCTAGTTCTTGTTAAAACAAAACAAAAAACATTACAAATGTCTTTTGAATTTCTGCTTATTCCACGAATTAAGAAAACTCAGGACTTTATGATAACTTTCATTTTGGATGCCCAAAGCGGTTAATACAGTTCATATTTTTGGTAAGAAAACATCGGCACACTATTGTAGTTTTGATCCTCTTCTTCTTAGTTTTGATCTTCTGTATGGATAAAAAAGATACATTTTAAATTCTACTCGAGGCACCCGCGGAAACAGAAGGGTAGATTCACTTGGCGCACAAACCGCCCACTTCGATTTACTAGACTGGTGTACTCCAAACGAATCCATCCGAGACAAACGGCTAAGTTTAGCAGTGTCTTTATATGTTTTGGAGGTATTTAGCCGAACGGCTAAAAACGCATGACACTTATATAGTGGGAAATGTTTAGCCGTTAAATAACGGCTAAGTTTAGCTATTTCCTTATATATATCGGAAAAAGTTAGCCGTTATTTAACGGCTAAAAATGTATGATACTTATATAGTGAGAAATAGCCGTTAATTAACGGCCAAAAATGCATGATACTTATATAGTGGGAAATAGTTAGCCGTTATTTAACGGCTAAGTTTAGCTGTATCCTTATATATATCGGAAATATTTAGCCGTTAATTAACGGCTAAAAATGCATGATACTTATATAGTGGGAAATAGTTAGCCGTTATTAAACGGCTAAGTTTAGCTGTATCCTTATATATATCGGAAATATTTAGCCGTTAATTAACGGCTAAAAATGCATGATACTTATGTAGTGAGAAATAGTTAGCCGTTATTTAACGGCTAAAAATGCATGATACCTATATAGTGGGAAATAGTTAGCCGTTATTTAACGGCTAAGTTTAGCTGTATCCTTATATATATCGGAAATATTTAGCCGTTAATTAACGGCTAAAAATGCATGATACTTATATAGTGGGAAATAGTTAGCCGTTAAATAACGGCTAAGTTTAGCTGTATCCTTATATTTATAGGAAATATTTAGCCGTTAATTAACGGCTAAAAAGGTATGACACTTATATAGTGGGAAATAGTTAGCCGTTAAATAACGGCTAAAAATGCATGATACTTATATAGTGGGAAGTAGTTAGCCGTTAAATAACGGCTAAGTTTAGCTGTATTCTTATATGTATGGCAAATATTTAGCCGTTAATTAATGGCTAAAAATGCATGATACTTATATAGTGAGAAATAGTTAGCTGTTATTTAACGGCTAAAAATGCATGATACCTATATAGTGGGAAATATTTCGCCGTTAATTAACGGCTAAAAATGCATGATTCTTATATAATGGGAAATAGTTAGCCGTTAAATAACGGCTAAGTTTAGCTGTCTTCATATATATATGGGAATTATTTAGCCGTTAATTAATGGCTAAATTTCTCGTTTGTATAAATAGTTAATGAAAATTTCACTTATAAATAGTTAATGAAAATTTAGCCGTTAATTAATGGCTAAATTTTTGTTTAGTAAAGAGTAAAATTTAGCCGTTAATTAATGGCTAAATTTTTCTTTAAGACTAATACAAAGTGACTTAACGGCTAAATTTTTCTTATAACTACAGTGTGAATTTATTGCAAATTTTGCCATTGTCTAAACACCGAAATGTTTAATACCAGGAAACCAATAAATCATTCATTGCCTGTTACTGAGTCTAAAGGGCCTGTATTTTGAGTTTGCAAATCCGAGGAAAGTAGAGGTCAATGATCTTAACCTTTGCCAGGGGTATTCAACGCTTTTATAATTCTTACTTTGCATGCCTCGAATGCTTTAAAGAATCGCAGAAGATTCTTCCATATTGGCTGGATTTTGACACTCATCTCTGTCTCATTTCGCTAATTAAACTTCTGCACCCTTGATATTCTTTTAGACTTTTTATCGGCCGATGGGTTTATCAAACATTCATTCTACATTTGGTCATTGTAAATCGCTCGAGAATTCAGAGTTTCTTTTCCTAACGTTACTCTAAAAATTATATAGGTATTCAATCTGGCATCGAGAGATCCCAAAGGAACCATGCATTTTATTTACTTACAATGTACACTTTCAAAGCACAGTTACATACTTTTGCAGCAGCTACTTACAGTCAGTGGACAAAAGAAACAAATTTATATGGAAAGTAACAAAATTGTATTGGTGAAATTTGATACACTTGCGATATTGTGTAAGTGAAGTTCTCTTGCTCCAGTGAGGTGAAAAATAGAACCAAAATCACCCAACGGGTTGTTTACCTAGAAATCAGAGTCTTACTCACCATGACATCACAGCGGGTTTCCACTTTGGTGACGACTCAAACCTACTTTATCACATTGTTAATGATTTAAGAAAAAAGGTAAAAACACCAAGCGACTGCTACTATAAAGCAACGGAAGGATATTCTCTAAAGAAGGAAATCGAATACTCCGCTCTACGACTTCAATTTCTGGATCCTCTGACAACTACTTGTTACAGCGAAGACTCAAGTAGGTCATTGTTAAAAGCTTTCCGTCGGTACATGGTTTAGACGGATTTACATAACTTGAAGTCAATATCTGTATAATTTGTGGCCTATTAGCCTCCAGTATTATATAGGTACATGAGTGCACTGGTAAGAATTCCATATTTTCATGAGTTGGAAAACGAAACATATCTCTGTTAAACGAATGCAAATTTTCCTTCCATTACGGGAATACATACCACTTACATACCGAGTTCGAGGACCGTAGTGTGAGGCCGGACCGAGTTTTTTCCACAGAGATTTATGGCCCAGGCTCTTCGCGCTTGGGGGACAAATCCAGGTGGAAAAAATAAGGTTCCGTAACTTCATAGTGCAACCCGAGAAAATGAGGTTCATAGAATATTTATTATATCTCTTGGGGAAAAAACTCAAAGAAACAGAACGGCCACTGATAGAAATAGCGTGTGAAATACGTATAAACACGACATATGATAAGGAAACCTCTATGGCCTCCAAAATCGTATGGTTAACTCACCCAAACTTTCATTTAGGTTTTGACTCTCTAATAATGCCTTCTCTAAGTTGCCTTTAAGAGGCATTTTGGAGAGCGGAGAAAGCTTTTTCCATTCAGGGGATACGGGCCGTACCGTGAAGTACGGCCCCCTAAATTGACCAATCAAAGCGAGCATGCTATTTGAGAGATACAATAAAATAAGTTATTAGTTCTTTTATATGACACCTAGCTAGTAGATTCTTTTCACTTAAAGTATCCTGAATAGAGTATAGAAGAAGCAAAGTTATCGGATATTAGCGGGTTGTTATGGAAAAGTAAAATGGCCGCTACTTATCAAACGGGTTTTGCGAATAGGCCCGGTTGTTTGTTTTGACTCTCTTTTAAAGATTTTCTTGAAAACGATATATGAGGCAAATGCAATTTAACCTACAAACAAACCGCACGATGTCCTTCTTCACAAAGACATATATAGAGCCACTTTTGCCCTGTTTGCAGCATGGATGGCTGGTATAGCTCAGCTGAAAGAGTATCGCACCATTATTTGCCAGGTTGTAGGTTGAATTGCCCTTTCAGCCTCTTCTTTTCTCCTGAAAAGTCTGACATGCTATTGCGCCTTCCGTTTCGGCCTGTTCTTTTAATTTTTCATTTTTTTAAATAGCAATTGCTTTAAGTTTTTCTTTTATTTTTACGATTGCTAAACCCCCTTCAAATAAAATCACTGATCTGTGCTTACGTATTCTTATAGCTGTCTGGATAAAGAGGAGCAAAAATGAATCTTGTTGCGATATGTCTTCTGCTTGCATCTTTTCACATACTTGGTAAGTGTCAAAAAAAGCTCAGAATAACAACTTAGTAGTTTGATTTACTTTGCGAGCACAAATTCGAGTATTTAGGGAAAAGTCCAGCGTATATGATTAGTAGCTGTGAAATGAATATTTTCGTCAGTGAATGTCGCATTAATTGTGCCCCCCAGGAGCCCATCAAATGGAGCCTCCATCTCCATTAATTTCTTGAGTCAACCCTTTCTCGAGTAGATTTATAAATAGAACGGCTTGTTTCCCGCGAAAAGTGTCATATTTCCGTGAGTCTCGTATGTCACCGTGAAAAAAATGAAGTTGGATGAAGTCGAACTCAGGAGCCCGTCCTTCGACCGTTTTCCTTTTTTACTATACGTCCATTTTTACAGTTTTACAGCCGCTGGGATCTGGGATGAAATAAAAGTTAATGAATTACCCGACTGAGACTGAGCATGAAGCGATGGGACAAAGGCAACGAACTGAGGATCACGGAAAGGTTCTTTGCGAGTGTTTGTTTTTGTTTTGTTTTTTTGCCGTCGTACATCCCACATTTAAGCATGCACCTTGAAAAGAGTCGACGATCAAGCGTTCTGTGGACGATTTGAAACTTTTCGATGAT